TTGACTCGAGGGCCACAATGGGTTCTTAAACTGGACTCAGAAGGAGCTGTGGCCGTGTTTCCCGACGTTGCCATGTTAACACTGCTGCTGGTGAAGGAGCGGAGGGGAGAGCAAGAGAACCCTCCGCTCTTTCGGCTCCACGGGCTGGATAGAACAGCTGAACGGGCCGGATCTGGCCCGCGGGCTGTAGTTTGCCCACGGCTGGGTTAGACCGTTGGCCTGGGGACTGAAAGGTCCCGGGTTCGATTCCGGTCAAGGGCATGTACCTGGGTTGCGGGCACATCCCCAGCAAGAGATGTGCAGGAGGCAGCTGATCGATGTTTCTCTGTCATCGATGTTTCTAACTATCTCTCGTAAAAAAATCAATAAAATATATTAAAAAAAAAAAAAGATGGGGAGGGAGAGTATGTGACTTTAAAGATGTAGGAGGGTGATCTTCGTGGTGATGGAATAGTTCTATATCTTGTTGAGGTGGTAGTTACAACAATATACATGGGATAAAACCATATAGAACAATATGCACACATTATACCAATGTGAAATCTCTGGGTTTGACATTGTCTTATAATTAAGATTTAACCATTGGGGGAAACTGGGTTAAGGGCACATAAGATCTCTCTGTACATGTTTACAACTTTCTGTTCTTCAGTTATCTACTTATATAAAAACCATGGGTGGTGGTCATCACGACCATCAGAATTGCAACCAAGCAGAAGTTAGTCAGTCCTGCAGGGGTTGTCTTGGCAATGGATGCGCCCTCCCCTGAGCTGTTTCCCGGAGCTGTTTCCAGCAAGGGTGGGGTTTGAGGCAGGAACCCACCCTCACAGCATGGGCCCACTGAATCCTGGGTCGGTTTGCCAAGGGCTGTGCCCTCCCCAGCTGTTTCCTGTGTCACCTGAGGGAAGAACCCACCCTCAGAGCACCAGGAGCGCCCAGCAGCAGTCAGTCTTGGGTTGCTGAGGCGGAGGGCCACGGAGGTAGAACTCTGGGTCTGGCCCCACAGGGGCGCAGGCCG